AACGTGATCTTATAAACTACAGCACTTCCACAGAAGGACATTAGGAATAAACCAAGTCATTTAGCTAGAACACAGACCAAATGGACGGGGGAAAAAAAAAAACAAACACTATAAATTTTTTAAAATACCTTGTTTTCAAAAATTGTTCAAGCGTGCTCAAGATAGGACCATTTAACTCAAACAGAAGTATTTCTTATTCTGACCTGTTTTCACATTCTGAGATCCCCTCTGGGATGAGCTATAGCCGTGACTTTATGCACTGGATCTCTACATCCAGTGGGCACCATGAACAGTCCTGAGGTCTGTGAAAGACAACTAAGAAAAGATATCACATACACACTTCTAGCATCCAGCACAGCCAGTGATTTTTTTTTCCCTCCCCCAGGAAATCCCTAATGTGTTGAAGAATACCGGCCAATGTACTCTTGGACTTTTCCGCTGAATACCACCAGTTTCAACTGTACCAAACTTGAGAGGCAATTCTTAATTCCTTTGGATCTGGGCTTCACCCACCAATATCTTTCATGAAGGATTAAGTATTCAAACATATTTTAAAAATAGAGGTTTCCACATAAACAGTTTTTCAAAGTGAAAGAGGATACAGTTGATTTTGTGAACAGAAATGCAAACGAAAGCACTACAGGAGACTAGTGTTCTCTAGTCAAGAGCTTTATGTTTGTTATTTAAACAATATGCACTCTGTTTACACCAACAGCTTCTGATTGTTAACTGAGCATTAAAGCAATTAAAAAAAACTGGTTTGCAGTCTCCAACACTGTGATTCCAGGCTGTTAAATCTCAGGTATAATTTTCAGCCAGACAGCCAAAGACCACCAAGAGTTGCAAAAACCATCTATTTCAATTGTAACTATTAGTTTTAAAAAACTCTTAGTTCACTCCTGGTAAACCATTCTTTCTGCTATCTGCTGTTTGCTGTTGACTAAAATAGAAAGCAATTCTCTAAAAAATAATATAATTTCCAGGAAATAAACTGACTGAAGTACTTTCTTTCCCTCCTACCCCTATTTAAGGGCACAAAGCTTGCATGCTCATGGTGTATCTGTGAAGGTTTTCTGCCTGTGTACCCGTCAGCTTTCCAATAACCAGCTTTTTACATCAGCTCATTTCAAGCACATTTAACAGATGGGAATCTCAAATATACTGGGTCTGGTAACTCTATTGTCCCCTCTTTTATCTTTTAAACTAGATATGAGTTAAAACCAAGCACAAGCTAAACGTTATTCCACAAAGGCACAAACCAGCTCCTTTAACAGATTCTCGCTGTTAGAGGAACTGAGAAAAGACAAACCTTTACACTGACCTGCAAAAGCTTCCATCAGTTCATCAAGGGCCATGCTGACTGAAAGGTGGCTGAAATCAGATTAGTTTGCTACCACCTTCAGTAAGCTTCAGATCAGATCTGCAGGCTCCAGAGAAAGCTACTTTTTGTCCCACCCACTGAAAACCAGAAGTAGCATTATAGGAAATAAGTGTTATAAAAAGCGTATTTTATATTTCTCAGTTGTATTATCTGGCAATGCCTGTTAGTACTATATTGTCAGTAACAGCACCAAAACATGGCACAGAAAATTTCTGCACATCTACAGGACATTATCTCCTGTATACATGAGGAGCTTTTTATATCTCTTCTGTCACAGAGCTGAAGGAACCAGTTGGCAACCTCAGTCATCATGCACAGCAACAATATAAACAGATGGAGACAGACAGTCTTTAAAGCTGAGAAACACAAGCACCACCACTTTTCATGGCAATCAAAACTGTATTTACTCATGAGGTAGTTATCAGATTTTGTTCAACGTTCTCTGACTTCTGCAGCAGAATTAACATTTTAAAAGCTCAGGAAACTGCCCTATAACACTTGTTCTGAAATGCTGGTAGGTTAGTCCACTTACTGAGGGCTTTTCAAGTGCCTTTCACTGAGTAAATTAGGAACCCCTGTCAAATTTACATCCTCAAAAACAGCCTCAAAATTCTATTGCCAGAACTGTAAAATAAGAATAGTATCTTGTTGCAGAAAGTTTGGAAAAGTAAAAAAAAAAAAAAAAAATCTTATGACTGCTTAAATAATAAATTTAATCACTATTTTGCTCAGCTACTTATTGTTTTTTGTAGCAGCACCTCAAGTATATAAAACAAGACTCTCACTTCAGTAAAGTCCCTACAAGGCTAAACCTGCCAACTTCCTACTTTACTTGTACACTTAAGCGTTTCACTCCCTGCTTTTACAGGGCTACAGACAGGCAAAAAATTCACTATATATGAACAAGACGTTAGCAGCATATACTTCAATTTAGCAATCATTAGAATACTTAAAATTTAATGCAAATTAAAAGTCAGATCACAGGTACCTAAACATCTAACTAATAAGTCAAAGTATTGGAAGCTTTAGATTCTTTTATCTCAACGGGAAATAATCCAGATACCTCTTCTCCAACCGCATGGCACTGCAGAAACCGCATCTCCGATTTGCAGCATGCACAAACCTCACTTCTGCAGCCTGCCTGGAAAACCACCAAATTCAGGTACTTTTGTGTCAAGCAAGCTAATACAGAAAACCTGCCAGTCTGCTCTCCACCTTCTGAACACAGCTGAAACTATTTATCCAGGAAAGAAAAATTATCTCACAGACCTCAGTTAAAGGATTCATAGGTCTTTACCAGAATTTTAAATCCAGCTGGCTCCCCCTTAGACTCCAAACCAAAGGACCTAAGTATTGAAACCTTATGCTGCCAGTGAAACGCCTGTCAGTTTTCGTTTCTAATTGGTTGTAAAGAGAGAACCGAAACAAAGATCTCTAGTCAAGTGTTCATTTTGTAGAAGTGCTTATATAGAGAGGTCACAAATTAACCTTCAGGGATTTGCCTAATTCATGTGTTGCCTGTAACAGCATCTTACAGAGCCAGCCCTCTAGGAACACTGTAAAGCTAGACAACTGTGCCACACTCCTCATTTCATCCCTGTTACATCACGTACTGGCTTGGCATAAAAAGGGAAGAATATAACCAATATATTGTTGTATCAGATCTAAGTGATAAATAGAGTATAACAACTTGTTGATAAATTTGGAATTAAAATTAGGCTCAGATTAATCATTCCTTAGATTCTTTAAACTGTAGTGTATTTATGTTCTAAAAATATACATAAGACGACCACATGGCTTATCAGCATTTCCCCCCATTAGTCTGAAGACCGAATGCTGGTACAACATTTTCCTGCAGACACAGCCAACCATCTCTTCTCTACTTTCACATCCCACGCCAAAAATAATCATACACAAAGTTTCACTTTACAGCATCGCAAAGGTGGAAAATACAATCCACAAAACTTGATAATATCTCAAGCTAAAGACCTACAAAAGAATCAGACTGCTATCTGATAGTATTTTAGCACACTTTGCCACAATATGCAGACAGCTCCAATGCAGCAGGATTACTGTGAAGTCCTACAAGCTTGGTGCCTCCTGCGTACCCTCTATTGAACAAAGACAGGCACAGGACTTGAGTATTCCTGACAGATTCATACCCTCCCGTTCTCCCAGTAACTATTATTCCATCATTCACAGATCTATTAATTCTGGCACTGAACTGTTTTTCTTCAGCAACAGTTTGGGATAAGACAAATAACCCCAACTCTCACCTATTCAGTTACACCACCAAGGTCTACATGAAGCAATACAGCATAACATGCCCAAGAAAAATAAGCTTTTTTTGTTGTTGTTGTTGCAACTTCTGGTGAAATGAGGAAGGGAAACAGTTGCTCATACAGGCAATTCAAAGGGGAACAAGAACCTGCTTCAACTTGTTTAATGTTCTAAATTATCCCACTGGGCTAGAACCTCAGTTTTACAACTTGCCACGTTATTTCTGGAATCACCAGAAAAGAAAAAGTCTTTGTATGTGTTACCAATATTTGGACTTTATCTCAAGCAATTCTTTAAACAAAGGCTAAGAATGGCCAAACGCTTCATGTGATATGGGCAACAGCTGAAAATGAAGCTTGCTGAAGTAACTGTAATTCCATTTGCTATTTCAAAATCCATTTCCGTTCCCAGAGGAGCGTTTGTTTGCCACAGAAAGGAGTTAGTTCTCTGTCCACTGTTTGGATCAGCTTCCCTCCTGAGCGCATTGCCTAATGGATGTTCAGACTCTGAAGTCTCTGAACTGGAGGCAATCCCGGGGTTACCCTGGATTTGGAGGGGCTCAGCCAGACGAGGGGCAGCCCTGTGAGGACCCCCAAGTTCCAGCCTCTCTGTTCTCACTCATGTACTCTGGTAAGGAGACTGGGATGCAAACTGGGGATAGCTATCCAAGCTTCTGAAATAACCCTGGACCATCCTGGGAACATTTTAACCAAACTGACAAACCTGGATAGAGAACACTAAGCTGAACCATTTTAATAAAAGTATATTTTCCATTTATGACATCTCTACTTATTAACGATGTTAGGCAGAGGAAAAAGATTATCCTAGCCACCTACATATTCTCAAATAGCTAATACTTCTAATAATATCACGGATTAAAGCAGAAAGTACTGGATTCCAGTCTCAGATCACTTTTTTCAGTAAAACTTTAAAGTTTGACATGTAATAAATTTGGCTCCAATTGCCATGAAATTGGTAATTTACACTTTAAAACTGTGTATTGCCTCAGGAAAGCACAACACTGTTTATTATTGTTCATATATATAGTAAAAGTAAACTGTAAAAATTACAAAGATTTTAATTGCAAAAATTTTAAGAGTAGCTTAGGAAATTACATCAAGTTGTTTGTCTCCTTCACAGAGTTTAAATAAAATCTTATACCTATCCCGTACACACAGCTGAATATGACCTTGTTGCACCAGCCGTGACCCACAGAGTTCCTCCCACACCAGTGTTAAGCTTTCTCTATGTATGGCTCTCCTAGATGCAGGCCTAAGACCAACATTAGACATGAAACTAACAGTTAGTGAAACTCCTGGTTGCAAAACCAAAAAGTTACCTTTGAATCCATCCAAGAGGGTTTGTTTTTTTTTTCACTTGTGCTACTCAAATGTGAATCTTCTGTGGCACCTCACATGCTATACGAGAAAAAGAAGATACAGTTAATCTTTTATTATTGCAGTTACCAATTTCATATCTGCCAGGACTCATTCTAAAGCATCTGAATTTTCATTTCCTCTCACAAATACATTTTGCTTCAGCTGCTCAACACTTACCATGTAAGAATACTGGAATGGGGTGTATGACTCCTGTTCTTACTCTTTTTGAATACCCTCAGGCAGCACAGTCACTCTTGTCTCCAGAAAGCATGTGAAGCAAACAAAAATATGGTAGAGACCTGCTGAGGTTGTTAAAGTGGCTGTGAACAGTACACATGATTTCATACATGAAAACGTGGAAACAAAAATCCCTAGGTATGTTTTCTTTTACAATATTTAAAGACTAAGAAATTTAACATACCGGTCTAGTTATTCTTAGCATTCAGCACACAGCTTACTGAAATCCTGTCTTGTTTAGAAAAGGGGCAGCTCTGGTGCTGCATCACTCCAGATACAATTGTGTGACTGAACCCATGGAGAGATCCGCTTCGTTCTCACACTGCCATGTCCCACACTCAGCCTCACAGACGTTCACAGGTGTGTACTACAAACATAGCCTGAGACTACAAGCAGCTGATAACTGAGTAAAGTTTATAAATCTGTCGAAGGCAGGATAAGAGCTAAGCGTATTAACCTTATTTTGATCTAAGTCTACACACAAACTGGTTAGTCATATTTTTCATTTAACCTTTGTGTCTGTCAAGTTGTAGTCTAATCTACAGAACAAGGTGAAAATAATTAGCTGATAAGGACTAATTGCCATAATACCTTTCACTGCCTTCTTCCCTACACATTTACAATAGAGAAGCCAAGCTTTAGCTAGTAAGAACCTGCAGATGACAGAAATCAAACAGCTCAAAGCTGATAGAACCCCTGAGAACGCTGCAATGCTGTGAACTGAAAATGAACACCAGAATGAAAGTTCCCTATGAGCCACCTACAGGATGGACAAGTTTGTTCCTGAAGCCCTGTGGGAATATCCAAATAACCAATTGCCCCAAGAACACGCTCCTTGCTTGATTTTGTGTCCGTATCACACGCTGTGGAGCATCTTTGTCCTCTAGACTACAGTTATAAACCATCCTCATTACAGGAAAGAGGCAACCTCATTATAGCAGTCCCTAGAACAGCTTCTTAGGGATCTTAGGAGAGAGAAACAACATTAAATCAAGATAAAATTTGAGCATGTTGCCTGAAAATTCTATGTACTTTAAGAGTCTGTGGCTAAGCTTCTGCTGACAGATACAGACACAATTAAATTTCTTTCCCACAAGCCTTGCAGCGCAGCCCTTGGATGACCACAGCGGTTAGAGATTCCCATGGTGATAAAGCAACTTCTGGTTATTCCTGCCCTGAGGACATCAGTCTCCCACATTCCTGAACAGAAAAACACACTTGCATTTTCCAGTTAGCGGCCCAATCCCCCAGGAACTGATCACTTTCTTCTATAACAAACCTGGCAAACACGCTGCAACGCACTATCCCCCAAGTTCTGAAACCACACCTTGCATGGCTCAAAGCAGCATTTTCAGGGATGTACCCGAAAGCCTGAGCTACATGCAGCCCGACGCCCTTTGACGGGCAGTAAAAGGCAACAGAACACCCGAGCAGGCACAGCGGCCGAGCGAGGAGCCTGAAGCCCCGGTCCCCGGTGACAGGGCCGGCGCCCGGCCCCTGGCCAGCCCGGGCTCGGGTGCCTCTGGC